ATGTACTTTAGGGATATACTGTTGCTATATATGGTAAGGTAAGAACTAACCTAATGGATGAGTTTCCGTTTTTTTTTTTTTAATGTTTTACGTGTAGCCATCTGACCACTTTTTATTGGGTGCCTTATCATATGAAGACTTTAGTGTAGGGCTTGTAAAAACTAGATCTAGAAGCAAAGCTGGAGATACCATAAGAATTAAGGTCTAGGTGCTGAGAAATGAGTGCTGGAGAGTATGGAATGGAAAATGACACCCTGCTCTACATTGGAAAGAAAAATAATGTATGTAATCTCGATAGCCTTGGGGCAGGGTGAACTCTTGCCTTAGACACTCATGCAGGTAAGTCATTCATAATGAAACTAATTACCTGTGCATGTACTTAGTCTAGTTTAATTGAAACTTCACGTGTGCATGTGTTGCTGTTCTTCTGGGCTTTGTTATTATGGATTCATTCTTTTTAAGTTAGAGCATTTGGGTATATGAGAGAGTGGGCATTTCTATTTTTATTCTGCTTAAAGATATCTGATTACAAAGGCAGATTGTTACAAAGGGAAAAAAAAACTTACTAGCAGGACTGCTGCTTTAAATGTAACTCAAGGCCTGTAAAATTTAAGGACAAAAAAAAAGGCATGATCTCTCTCTCTGTCTCTCTCTGTCCCCACATATATATACATACACATACATACATATATACGTATACGCACATACATATATAACATATGCAGCAAATAAGAATGCTTTTCCAATCAACGTTTGGCATCTAGTTTCAAGCCACACGATTTAAAAATGAAATGGAGACTACATTATTAATGTAACAGTTAAGGTACGACATACAACATGGTTGAAAATGTCTTCCTTTCGGAAAGCTGTCTTTTCCAGTGTCTACACATTTTAAAGAGAATATTTTGAAATGAGATTCCTGAAACCAATAGGGCAATAAATGCGTAGATTGCTTTGTAATTCCGCACGGAAATCGTAGAAATTCTTGGAAACAGTTCCCATTACACGCATTATCTATAATGCCTTTGCCCCCCCCAACAGTATTTTTGTTAATATGAAGTTAATTGGGCGATCAAACTTTCAGCCATGAGATGTTGGCATTATCACCGATTAAGGTGTATGTCAGGAAAATGTGTCTCTTCTTTTAGGACCGAACAAGCATGGTGTGCGCCTTGAATTCCATATATTAAAGATGTGAATATTTGAAACCTTAAATAAATAGAAGCCAAGGAGGAACCTGTGCATAAAATATAGCATAGATAGCAGAGACTCGGCAAAAAAAAAAATTAAATATATAATATAATATATATATTATATAGTCGAAAGGAAAAAAGAAAAATAGATAAAACGATAGAACCTGAACTTTTAGCGAATTAAAAAAATGCAAATATACCTTTACATATGCATCAGTATTAAAAATAATACACGCTGGAACCAACAGGAGCATCAGCAGCAGGAGGAGGAGAAGGAGGAGGAGGAGGAGGAGGAGGAGGAGAGGAGAATGGAGGCGCAGCAGAGACCTGATTATGCATAGCTGGAGCTGCCTCCTCTCTAACCTGTTCTTCTCTGTGCAGTGCTGCAGGCCGTCCTCAGCCACCCACAGAACAGGAGCAGAAACAACCTTCCCGAAGGCTACACCATTTATTTTTCTTTTTTGGGTTTTTGTTGTTGTTTTAGGGGGATTCCACTCTCCCTTTAATTAAAATCTTCAATAAAAGGCGATCGCGCCTGGAATGCACAGTCTCCTCTTCTGCAGGATTTGCATATTTTTTTAATGCCCTAATTTCCTTGATGTATGTAAATGTAGCCGGACGTAGAGTGAGACATGGAGCTGACGTCAATGGACGTGACCTCGCTGCTAAACCTTGAACGTGAAGCTGGGATGGGGGAAAACACGGAGAGGGAGAGATGCAGGCAGCAAACCCGGCAAGCCAGAGTGGCAGTGGCGGCGGAGGAGGTGGCGGTTCCAGCAGCAGCAACAACCGCAATTGGAGCAGCCAGCCCAGCAGCTGGAGGAACAGAGGTGGCGGCGGCGGCGGCGGCGGCGGCATCGGCAGCAGCAGCAGCAGCAGCCCCAGAAAAAACTGAAGCAGTGCAACATAGGGAGCTGGCCTTGTGGGAACAGCGGCATTCTCCGGTCGTCTTGTTTAAAGCCTCCTCGCCACCGGTTTTGCAACAATCACAAGCTTCCAAGCGCCTCCATCCCACCAAATAAACATTTTTTTAAACAAACAAACAAAAAAATTCCCTGCGAAACAACAACAAACAAAAACCCCAAACTAAAAATTAAACAAATATTTATTCTCAGGTAGCTATTCTGAAGACTGAAATTGGAACATTATTTTCGCTTCTCTCCACCAGAAGAGGAGGGGAAGAGATCATGCAACATCAAATCTGTTCCTAAAATATGCTTAAGATACACGTGTTCTCAGTAGGTAGAGGTAAATCGTCCAATTAACTTATCAGTGCTTCTTGTTTCTGTACTTATTTTACCTGTCGACTTAGGATTCTCATGGTCAGTTCTGCTCTATTAGCACTTATTGCAATGATATGCTCTATGGTCGAGAGTGAGGCAATGACTTGGGGAAAGAGGAGAGGGAGCCAGGCAAGGAAGCCGTGTGTGTTTGTGTGTGTGCGCGCGTGAGCTTGTGCGTGTGCACAGCGATCTTTCTAAGTTCCCGTTTGTACTGTGGCTCTGTAGGCCAATCTTGGCCACCTCTGCGCTTGGCTTAGGCTTTGGTTTCAACCTTTTGAAGAGGAAGGCCAAGGGAAGATTGACATCCTAAGCTAGTTCACGTTTAATTGTTTCGAAGAAAAAGAAAGAAAGAAAAGGACAGAAGAAAGCAAGAGATAGGGGCGACAGAGAAGAAGGCTGGCTGGGAGAAGGGGTTTTCGGAATAGGATCTCTACTCTGCAGGAAGACAGTTCACATCAGTCCTGATCTCTTGCTTGCTTCTTCCTGCTCTCTCGGGCAGTTTTCTGTCTCGATAGCACTGGGAGGCTTTGCCAAGGAGGCTGCAAATCTCAAAGATGAGCAAGGGGACCTTTCATTTTATTTTAGACCTTCTTCCCGCCACCCCCCATTCTCCCTCTCCTAGTGCCTAAAGGAAAATGAAGCCAGCATGTGACCCACAGACAGGGAGAGTGAATGACAGGCAGCAACTTCGCGTGCTCGGCTGGCCAGCCCAGCCCTAGCAGCCTGGCACAATGCCGCCTGCCACCTGCCTACGGCCTTCTTTTCTCAAGACCTGGTGGGCACGGAACTCAGCACCTATAAAGGCGGAGGGTCTTGGAGAGGAGGGGGAGTAATTCCAGAGTGCTGGTGCCCAGGGGGAAGGCGAAAGGAGGGACCTGGGGAGGGCTGTGGGGCAGAACGGGCGAAACCAAGGGCGGCCGACAGCTCCCCAGCCCTTTATCTCCGCAGCCAGGGCAGGGTTTGTTGTTGTTGTTGTTGTTGTTGTTGTTGTTTTCCTATGTACCCAGGAACGAGCTATGTTTTTCTGGCATGCTTAGGGCCACAAGGGCACGTGTGTGTGTGTGTGTGTGTGTATGTGTGTGTGTGTGTGTGTGTGTGTGTGTGTGTGCGCGCGCGCGCGCGCGGGCTGGCGGGTGCGGGAGCGCGCTCCTGCCAAGCAGGAGCGGCTCCCGCCAAGGACACGCTTGGTTGTCTGTCCTCGGGCTGCACTTGGCGGGAAATCTGTGGGCTGACTGGACTGTGCTCTCCGCCTCCGGCCCTCATTACTGCCTCCCTTCTCCCTCCAGCCGCCACATTTACATATGGGGCCCTCATCAGAATTTTTACTGCGTCCCTCCCCTCCTCCGCCTGCCTCTCATTACCCGCAAACGTGCGCGCGCGTGCGCATACATACACACACACACACACACACACACAGAGACCCTCACACGCGCGCGTGCACACGCGAGCGCAGACACCCACACAGAGGCTTTAGCAGCCAAGCACAGTCTGCTACATCTAACTCCACAGCCACCCATTAGCACCCGTAGCCCCTCACCCTTCAGTGTACTCCCAATTAGTGCAAAACCTTTCGACAAACCACACGTACACACATACACACACCCACAAGCACATATACAACCTCCTCTCTTATAATCTTCCATGTAAGCACACTTCCCCAATTCACATTCATCCTTCCTCCTACCCTTTCCGAGTCACCCCTGTACAAACAACACACATAACTACATAAAAAATACTAATGCGCTTTTCTCTCTCCCTCTCTCTCTCCCTCCCTCCCTCCCTCTCCCTCTTTCTCTTTCAAGCCTTTTTTTCTTTTCCTCAAATGGATAACCTTTTCTGGCTCATCTCAGGTGTCTTTTGAATAGCTTAGGACCGTAATGAATAAAAATCTTCCAAATGTTTCGCTTGTCTTTAGCCAAACACATTTAACAACCAAACAAAAGGAGGGGGGCTTGAACCAGGAGACCTTTCTTTAAAAAAAAAAAGTCCAGGCAAAAGGTCATTCTCCAAGTTTGTAAATAGAATTGCAGAGAGAGAATCCTAAAAGAGGAAGAAAGGAGAAGGGAAAAGGCTTGAAACCCACAAGTTACACAAAATGGTGTTCTGCCTGGAAAAAAAAAGACAGAAAGCTAGCTATTCTTAAAAAGTGAATCCTAAGAACCCAAGAGAGAAAACTGGAGGGGAAGAAGAGAGAGGGGGCGGGGGGGAAGGAAAATAAAAGGCAAAAAAGGTAAAAAGAAGTTTCCAAAGAAATGTGTGATTTCTCTCCTACAATAGGAAAATGTAGCCATGGTTCTTCTTTAGACTAGACATTTCTAATTTGTTCCGTCTGTCAGAAGGGGACTATGAGAGGTTTTGGTGCAAATTCATTATCTCTGGCAACGCATAACGTATAGTAGGAACTGAAAAAGACCGTGGCAATGGATGAACAATAGGGCTTCAGTTCATCAGCAACAAAAGCATTGGGGAAATTGGTTGAATTTCAGAGCACGTCCTCCTCAGCAGAGAGGGCTGGACTAGACCTTGGCCAACCCCCCCAAAAAACTTGCAGAGCCTCACATACAACACTTCACTCTCTACTCTGGGGCTTAGGGAGCAAATATCTGACAAGGAAAAAAAAAGTTGTGCTTTTCTGCTGCTTCTTTTTCGCCCCCTCCCCCAACCCAAGATGGAATCAGCTCTATTTAAACTATTTTAGACTCAATCAAGCAAGAATAATACTATGGAATTTAGCGGCAGTTTTAAACCGTGGTGAAGAGAGAGGCGATCTGAATTTTTGGAGACAAGAAAGACATCTGCATTCTGTGCTTCAGTGGGGGGCTTTACCATGGGATCTTTTCCTCCTGGCGGAGACTTGAATCGCTACTCGCTAGATTTGAGGGCAAATTGTTCTTGCAAAGGAAGAAAACATGTAAGTATCTTTGTGGAGCCTGCAGTAGTGGGTAAAGGTCTGGAGGAGCTTTCATCATGTGCCGAAACCCCACATAGCCCAGGGCTCGTGTCCGAACTGTGTTTTCTGGTTCAGGGAGGTATCTAGATGAACGTGAACTCTACCTCTTGTGTCTGGTTGCCAGGTCAGGAGTACGAGCCCCTGCGCCCCATTGAACAGGTTGCTTTCTTTGCTTCTCTCGAACTTCGACTGGGGACAGGGATGCAGAGCTGATTGCCAGAGGGTGCTTCGGTGGGTTCACTTAGTGATTTGTACTAGTTAATTGATTGTGTGTTTATGATACTAAACCTGTTGATCTTGTGAGAGGTATGAACGGGTATTATGCATTATGTAACATCGAGGAAACAATTTGGAAAGGGTCCTGGTGCAGGTTTGGTTTTGAAAGAGAAAGATTGAGTGTGTGTATGTGTGTGTGTGTGTGTGTGTTCCAGAAGGTCCAACGTATATAAAAATAAACTTTGCGTTCCAGGGTTTAAGATACATATATGTATATAGAAGTATATATGTGCACATATAGATACATGCACACATGTATCTATATCTATATATCTATATTATTATTATTATTATTATTATTATTAACTTGATTCTTCCAGACTCTTGGAGTTGCATTTATTCTTCAATGAAAACTTAGGTTTGATTACGTGCTATTGGCAAACTTATTTATAGTATCCAGCTAGAAGAAATAGATTGGGGGGCATGATTTTGAAGTTGAATAGTCCCTTTACTGGGTTATTCAGGGTTCAGATTCATCAAAAAATCTGTGTTTGATAGTATCTTGGTTAGTTGTAAGAACTTAATCATATTGTAGTTTCAGAGTCTGTACATTAGTAGATCCGGTGAAAAATCCGCTCGATTATCCTTAGTTTAGCCCAGAAGAGGCTCCCGAAGGTCTCTGATTTTGGTTGCTTGGAATTTGCAAAGGGAATAGAGCGCTGAGAAAAGCATTCGCATTAGTGTCTGAAGTGTTTTCTTTTGCAAATGTAGCCGAGGTCGTTGAATTGGGAATGTGTAGAAGGGTCATTTCAGCAGTCCAATTGATCAGAACTTAGACGACAGTGCCCTATCATGTCATGGCCACGGTCAGGGGCCCAGGCTGCTACACAGGTTGCAGCTGCCACAGGCCCAAACACAGAAGGTAAAATCCAGTTTCCTTGCTCCCCTCTTGCCCACCTTGTGCCCCCACCCACCACCAACCTTGGCAGTAGTAATTACAGCTCTGAAACCAATCGTGAGCTCCAATAGACAACATAATTGAACGTGTGTAATACCATCACATTACAAAATCAACATCCTCACCCCCACCTCCCTCACCAAAAAATCAATGGTAAAATAAAGGCAACCCATTTGAGAGAGCAGGAGGCTACTTAAAGACTTGGGGTGAGGGGAATAAAGAAAAACCTACCACTTTACAGCAATCATGTTTTACATTATTCATTGATTTATAAGGGGGAAAGAACCAATCAGGAAACACAGACATGAATGCACATAACCCATGTACAGTGACTGTACAGTAAACTATTTGCATATTTCTAATGTATTAGACAGATTCCCATTGTTTGAAAGATCTGAAAATTCAGTGATGAAAATGTTTGGAAAATCAGACATTTGGCCTATCTAAAAACTCTCCTTGGGTTGAAGGCAGCCTCCTTCTATACCTACTGTATGGCAATTTGCAATTTCAAATACCTCATGTATTTTTTTTCAAATTTTTCACCCTTTCTTCCAAATTCAAAAATATTGCTAATCTCAGAAGCTTTCCATATTCTGCATATTTTGTATTGTCATTATTATACATGTCTCCATTTACATGTAAATTAGCATATTTAACCCTTTGGATGCTAAAGCACAGTACATACTGTAAGTCTGCTATATGGTAACATAATGACATTTTAAGGAAATATAGAAATTGCAATAGTTTAAAGAAATATTTTGCTCTTACCGCATCCTCCATAGCATCCTTTTTAGCATTCTAAACAAAAATAAACACTAGTATATGTTAAAACTATGACCTTTTTTTCTTGGCTATTTTTCAGGTGAGACTACAAAGAAGCATAAAATGAATAGACAAACACCACAAGCAAAGGTAATTTTAAAATTAATATTTAATAAAACCCAAATGACAGAACCTAAAATGCACTATTTACTGTGTAGTATGCCCATAGTATTTCATATGACTCATATTACACAGTCCATGCAGTATGCAAAATTCAAGAAAACCTAAGTTTCCATATTTTTAGTTTGGTATTTTATTATGTAGCCCTTTGTATGTCATATATCAACCATAACACAAACATAACCTGTAATTGCCTATAAAAAAGAAATTCTGGATACAGAAGAAATAATAGGACACTTTTATTAGAAAGCAAGCCAGTCAAGTACCTTACTTGAGCTATACAAATAGCTGTAATTAAATGGCTTTTATATAGGAAATGGTTGCCTTGACTGTATTAGGAGACTGTGGTTTACATCTATGTGAATTACACAAACTAAGTGTGAAAGGGAGATTCCTGCAATGGCCTGATTCTTTATGTACTCCTCAGTACCAGAAAAAGGATTCAAATGTGTGCTCTATTTGCATGTACAGAAAATAATTCATCTGATTCAAAGATTTCAATGGAAAATCATAACTTTCCAATTTAACTTGAACAGAGATTGTTTATTCCAAGAAAGCCAGGATGTTTCATTGTACGTCACAGCCATCTGGAGACCTATAAAAAGATTAGAAAACAAGCATGACAATCACGTCCTAATCTACTAGCCATTAATGGGAATTTATTAGAGAGTGAACAGGCAAGCCATTTGGATTCCGTATATCTTTCAATATGCAGACTCTTTCCAAACTGGTATTCCACCTCTTAGCTAAGTAGCTTTCTGAGGAGCAAATATAACCGAAATGAAAACATGTAGGTGTTATTAGTTTCTCTTAACAATTTAGAATGAATATATATATATATATATACATATATATATATATATATATATATGACAGACACTTCTAGAAATCTTCAGCACAATTGCTTCAACTTGTCTCACATTTTAGATAATAATATAGTTCTTGAAATTGTATATGAATAATGGCTATATAAACCTTGGCAACATCCACAGTAATCAGGGATTCAATGTTGAGCCTTTTGAGGGTATCTGTGATTGCTAAAAGTCCTAATAAATAATGGAGAGTCAGAAGATTTAATTGGTAATATGGCTAATGCACAGTGAGTTTATAATCTTCATGTTGTCAATTTTCACTACCTTGGGCTCCAATAATTAATCTACAGTATATATATGGAAGATGTAGTGACTAGTCCTAGAGTCATTTGGTGTGGCTAGGTGAAACTCCTCAGGGTTGCATATGCTATTTAAAGATAATATTTTCTTGTATCTTTAGGGTAAAGTTATCTCATATGTATACTATGTTTCACATGTAATTTCTCAAGGTTTCTGGACATGCACTTGATGTTAGGACACAGATATGTGTATATATCCCACACGTGTGGGGTGTACAATATACAGCAAAACAACATGTTTACACACATACTCACAGAGTAATACACACTATCACATATATGTATGTGTGTATATATATTCATATGCATACACACACATACATAAACATTTGTGAGGAGACATACAAGCATACTAACATACCTACAGAGACCTTGTCATACTGAAAAACATTCTTACTAAATCTGTTCAAGTCTGTTCAAAATCACATGTCTACTTTGTGTAATACACAAAGTGAGATCACTAGTGAGTAGGTTTCTAGCTAATGGAGTACATCTTCAACAAACTTAAGATATACCGTATTTCTGCCAGAAAGGCTCATTAGAATTGTACATAAGTCAAAAAGCATCATGTATTTTTCCACATATTCAATTTCAGATCCAATAGTTTGTGTTTTGACTATAATCAAGATGATCAAACAAAGTTATTCTGAGTATTTCCCTGAATCACACATTGTTATTTTACTTGTGCATTTAAGACATAACAAAGGCCACAGATGTGCATTTTTGCTACCTCTTATGTTACAATGTGAGAAGACAAAATGTAACAGGATATTTTTAGACTTACACAATTTTCTTTAAAGCTGGCAAGAAATATACTTTAGAGATTATCTAACCCTACCCCTCCTCTCATTTTATAGATGAGGAAATTGGGGCCTAAAGAGAAGTGACTTGCCCAAAGTCCATAGTATAGCTTATTCTTTATATTTAATACAGGACTGCTTATCTTAAGAAGTAAGTATCTAGGAACAGCCTCTACAGGAAAATGTGATGTGTTAATAACTTAATTTGTTAAACCACATTTTGATACTTTCAGCAGTGTTTTAAACATTAATCTGGGGCCCTATCAGTAGTGCTTGGTTTGTCTACTGTCAGCTTTTTGATAATGAGTTTTGCTATTCAATTGGATACTTGCATTCATATGTATATTTGTAAGTAGGTAGGTACAGACAATGCTTCATATATATGCAAATAATTAAATTAATCAAATAATATATGACTAATTTAAAGGTGATTTTGCATGCTGGGAAAAAATCAAGTAGACTATACTGTATTAGCGGTATAGTGTAAAGTGAACATGGAGTTTTAGGACATTCTTTTTTAATTTATATTTTAAAGAACCATAACTCATTATTAAGACTCTAAAACAGTCTATAAACCTGATCTGTACTGAAAATCCATCTTGTGCTATGCAGAATACAACCTAGATTTGCCATTGAAACCACTGGCAATTTGATAAGTAGACATTATAGCTAGACTAGAGAGAGCTAACGAATTATCAGAGGAGATAGCATGAAAAAAAGAAAATAAGTCTTTAAGTATTTGTCCTCTGACAGAAAAGTTTCACAAAAAAGTAAATGACTCATTAATGTGTGATACAAGATTCCTTTTTGAGGAGAGAACAGAGGTGGGGGTGGGGGTGGGGAAGAAGGAGGTGGACATGGACTAAAATTCTTAGGCTCTAGGTCTTATATAATCCATATTTCATGAACTGAAAATACTCTTTCACAGCTGTCTTGAGAAACATAAGTATTTTTCCCTGTGAGGAAAAAAAATGATTAAAATAATTGGAAATGGGCCAGAATTTTTATTAAGGCAAAATATAATAACATTAGACAGATACTGCTTCTATGTTTACCCGAGCTGAATTCTAACACATACATGAACAGGGTCACACACAGGATGACACATGTACAGTATAGATATTTCAAAAGACACTGGAGTCAGGGTGGACTCTGCTGCTTACAGCATTTCTTTATAAACTTACAGGCCAAAATGCCTTGCACTATCGCCATGGTGCAAATACCTGAAAATCACTAGAGATACAAAACATGCCTGAGATGCGAAGCCATTAAAAACACAACACCAGAGCAAATTGTCAATGTAATTACACATCGACTCACTGCGTAATACAGATCTGATTCCCAGTCTCAGAAAGCAAGGCCCTGCTTTAAGCAATAGCAAACTGCCTCACATCTCCCTGCCCATGCAGTCTGCCAGAAGAGAAATGCAGGCAAAGACGTTACCCAGATCTGAAATGCTTTTATCTGTCCTTAGAGAAAGATTTCTTCCTGTCTTTGGATATTAGAACGATCTACACTAGCAACAAGAAAGGTAAAAGGCCGCGGGTTGATTTTCCAGGAGCAGTCGGTAGCTCTAGAGGAAGAAATGTTGATTGAGAAAATAGGGATTGTTGCAGTGCTGCTGCTGCTGCTGCTGCTGCTGCTGCTGCTGCTGCTGCTGCTGCTGCTGTTGCTGTTGTTCATGCAGCAGGCGCGGGGGCAGATCGCTGATCACTGATGCATATCAATAACCATGTACTTGAGATTTCTCATGACATCATCATTACCTTGGTCTCCCTCGGTCTCGAACCTTTGACCTTGCCGGGCTGGTCCACATTTTGACACTGAAAGCCCCTCCAATGATGGCCCTTTTCTCCTTCTTTCAGACCGGGGGCAGCAGCACGCCAGCAAGACGGCATCTTCTTCTCCCCAGCCTAGGAGCCCTGTGAAATCGAGGATCTTCCCCCCTAAAACACACACACACACACACACACACACAAGATATTTGCAATCAAGCTGCCTCCATTTGGTAAAAGCTCACGGTGCATAATCCAAAAGGATCAGGAGCAGATCCTTGAATCAGCTTGTCACTTCTTCTATAAAATGGGATTTTGTTTTCTGCTTTACACTGCGCTGGAAATTGTCGATGGCTTTATACATCTCTATAGAGGAAGGCTAAAGGGTCTTTCCTGAGAATGAAGCAATTTACAATGCAAATAGAGGCCTGTGAAGGGATGGATGCTTCTCACTCTTAACAGCCTGATGCACCCTAATAGCTGGTTTTATTTTCTGATATTAATAGATGAATTGTTGGTTCTCGCTGCCGGAAATTACTTGCTGAAAGGAAAAAAAAAAGTTCGGAATAAACTTTGAAGGCAACAGATCTCCTTTGGATGTGTATTAGCTGCACACACACCCCAACCCATAACAGGTCACAATTGTAAAGAAAGGATGCATCTTTCAAAACCACTGAGAGTACTCGAGGAGGAAGCAACACGTCTGTTTGTCTGAAGGAACCTGGGAGTCTGGATTCTAGCAGAGAGCAAAGTCTTGTGAGGGAAGCGAGTTGTTATCTTTGGTTATCTAGCTGTATGAGTGTATTGGTCTTCATAAAGCTAGATAACCGAAAGTAAAAACTCCTTCAAGATCTTCGAGGAGCGTGTGAAAATGAAAGACCACTTCAAGAAACTAAAAACAAGAAAGGTCAGGAATACTTATTGAATCTAATGTTTTTACGGCTAAAGGTGGGATTAGAGGAAGTTAAATGACACAAGTAGACCAAAATATGAAGTTGTCAGATGCCTTGGGATGAGTTAAGAGCTCAAAACAAGAAATTTGTAGTTCTTATGGGTAAACAATGCATGTGCAACTTTTACTGTTCTACGACAAAAAGTTCTATTTTATGGGCTGGTCTTTGTTTTTGTTTGTTTCTTTTATTTTTATTTTTGCTTTTTAGAAAGATGTGTAGAGGTTGTTACATATCTATTTAAAGAATGATTTTATGCTGTTAAATGACATAT